TTTGTTTTTATTTATTTTAGAGATATCTATCCATCTTTGCCAAATGGGGTAATATTTGTTGATCAATTTTAATAAGTTTGTTCTTGGAAGAATATGAGCTGATTGAAGTGAAATTTTGTTACACAATGGAAAATTTTGGTTACTTGATAGTTTACTCTGTCTTATGTTATTGTTATTATTATTTTCTTTCGTGCTTGTTTTATTGGGCATTGAAAATTTTGTTAGGGAGTTGATTGAAACAAAATTTTTGGTATACAAAGGAAAATTTTGTTAACTTGATAGTTTACTCTGTCTTATATTATTGTTATTATTATGTTCTTTCATGCTTGCTTTATTGGGCATTTTGTTAGGGAGTTTTTCAGAAAATAATGATATAACTTGTAATTATAGTGATAAGAGGCTATAATTTCAGATTGCAGTAATGATAGTACAGAATATGCTTCTTGCAGCTTGCACCTTTCTGTGCAGAGTTCTTCAAATGGCAATGAACTCTGTATACTTATTCAGTACTTGTATATTTTAAGCACAACATGTCCACCTCCAATGGGTCAAAGTGGCTAAAGTGCCCTTGTTAAGATGTCTCTGAGGTTTTTCTGTTGATATGCCTGGCTGGTGGTATATTCCTAGGAGGGGTTCAAACCTCTCAGATCCTCTCACTTCAGTTTAAGTATTAGATATTTAACTTGTTATCAGTGTATTTTAAAGTGTGCACATCACAAAATTAATGCAATAATAGGGAGTTTCATATGGCTGCTGAGTACCCTAGCTGGATCAATATGTGTCAGTCAAAAAATCATTCCTAACAACAGGATTCATTTAACAGGAAGAAAATGCACCAAAAAGATGAAAACACTTGAATAACTGCGAACAAACAATTTTATGTTTAATAATTTAGCAAATATTACCTAAATTTGGTAAAAAGCAGTATCATGCAACAATGGATGGGAAAAGGCTGGTCATATTTTGTAGACTTATTTTTATATTATATTTTACAATGTGTCAGTCCAGCCACGGTAACCAACTGCTATTGGAAAACTCTATTTATTTAGCATTTTAGTGACATGGAACAGCACTCATTGTCTATTTAGCTCCTATGGTGATATAATTATTGATATGAAGTGGAATGTAATAGTATTGAATGTCATGTTTCCACTACAAGTGGGCATGATATATAAAGAGGTTGATTTACCATAAAAAAACGCCAAGCACCTTTGAAAGGTATAATTATTTATTTACAAAAAATGGATAAATTGCTTCTGTCTTTTTTCTTGCCCTTTAGCTGGAGTTCATGGTTATGCCAATATAATTTGATGGATGTAGGACCTTGTACTGATAAATGGTGTGTGTGTGTGTGTGTATTAACAAATCCCTTTGAATAATATGTTTCTAATGACATTGATATTTAGGCTTTCATACATGCTATCATTCAGTATTTGTTACATTGCAGCTTTTACTTTTGGTTATTACCCTGTTAATCACTTGATATTGTGAGAGTTACCAAAATATTTTGTGAACTTTCATTGTTAAATTGGTAATTTTTCATTTAAGACTGTTCAAGAGATACTACTTTCAGCAATTCCATCATTTATATGTCAGTCCATATGACAGCTTTGCTGCCTTATTTGTTATTCATACAATCATGTCATTTTGATGCAAGTTTCAATATGATACTGTATATGAAATATATTGTAAGACTGTTTGCAAGTGACTGGTTTGTGTTTTATATAAACTGTGATTGTGGGAAGCACTATTTCATGGTAAAATGCTTGAGCAGATTAATTACAAAAATTACTAAATTTGGCTAAAAAATCCAAAAATGTTAATTCAGTTAAATACCTTTTTATTTGGCAGCTTCCTTTTTCCCACTGTCATGCACTGTAGACAAAAAATTATAGGGAGAAGAAAAATATTGTGTTAATTCTTGAAAAAAGCAATGAACACCATGTGATATTTGTGTATTGTGTAATATGTGAAAAATCATGATATAGTTTAAGTCTTGTAAAAAAAATATATCTGTATCAATAAATATTTTGATGCAAGAAAATTGCCCAAACATTGATACAGCATGATAATGGGGAATTTGCTTCAAGTCAACATATCTGCTTATTTGATTGATGATCCTGATTAATTTTACTCCTATTTAGAGGATATATTTACTAATGATAATGATAACATTTAATTGATAAATACCCCTTTGAATCTTTGGAGAGTTAATTTCTGAGTAACAGTTTTTCTTATCTTTGAAATATACCACTGCTTAAAAGGCAACTCCGTTGGATTTTTCCGGGGAAATAAGCAATTTTCTGGTACTCATGAGCCGTTTATCTATCTCTCTTTGTACTTGGATTCAACCTTTAATTAAATTTATAAAGGTTGATTTAGTTTAAAAAGACTGGCCAGTCATTATAACCAACGACCATCTTTGTATAAGGTCCTATGTAAATTTCAACAGAGGAACGCTCCAGAAAAAATATTTAAGAGGTTTTAATTGTTTTTATGGTGTATGAAAGGTGGATGGCAAAAATAACCTTTCGGGTGACTTTCAAATCCATGGAGTGTACCTTTAAGTCTAGACCTTAAAATTAACAAAAAAGGATCAGCATTTTAAAGTAAAAATTTCCCTTAACGAATTCTGTTTATCTGTATTGCTACAGGTGAGCAATGTATATGAAAATATTGTTGGGTATCGCATTTGAACACAATCATTAAGTAGAATTTCCCATGGCATTCTGACAAAAAAAAAAAAAAAAAATGCAGGCAGAAAAATGTCAATCGATTTACTTTGGTGGCGTCAGCAAAGCAAGGAACTAATATAATTTTGGTTTAGATCAGAGTCTGCACAATTTTAGCAACTTTTTCGGAACAAAATCTATATAAGGAATGTGTTATTGTAAGGTAAGTAAGGACAAGGACAAAAATGTCTGATTTGCCGGGTGATAGGTGTTGTGAGGGAGGTCCCCCGTTGATGTAGGTGAAGTTAATAATTTCGAACCTCTCAAAGTCTAGGTAGGTTGCGTGTTTTAAAACGAGAGTCCAGTTGGAAGTATTAGAAATTTAGAAACAAACGCCTTTCTCAACGGTGTCATTCGATTTGTATCGAGGCGAGATTGTCCCACAAAAGTCAACAGTGATAACGGCACAAACTTTCCCGTTTGTTGTCAACCGTGTTGTAGACTATTTGCTACAGTTCTATCATTTTTAGATGACTCCCCCACCCCACACACACACACACAAACACACACACCCGAAGTTCAAAACACTAGCATACGCTCAGGCTATCGGCAGCCCAACCGAAAAGTATAAATGCTTATTTTAGCAATTTTGAATTTTTTAACCTTGAACTTTTCAATTAAAATTATTAAAATAATCAATTCATAATTGAAGTTTTAAATGTTTCGCCGTTTCGTTATTTCATCAATACGTCACACTTTATTCAGAGAAATTTTTATGGTGATATTAATTGTTCTTGAAGTAGACAAATCAATTTCTCGTGGATTTGGCCTCTAGCCATAGCACATAGCACAAGTGGGTAGAAGTGCAGTCATTCACACTAAAATGTCCACGTATATTAGACCCATCACAAAAATTGTCTTATTGTTTGAGATATTGGTATGTTTAATTTGCAATCTGAGAATACATAACGACGGAAATTATATATAAGTTACACTGTATTACTTTCATCTTTATTTCCACGATGTTCTTACGTTTGTTCAGATTGTGTTAGATGAGAAACTATTAACACTGCTCAATAAGGTAACATGTGTTTAACTATTCATATTATTCATATGGTCAGTTGTACAAAAGGCAATGTCGCACGTGGTCTACGCGGTCATGTTTTACTTATACCCCCTTGACACTGGACGGCGTCCTTTCTGCGTCCTTTCTGCGACCATGAAATTTGGCATTGCTGTGGTCTTAATAAGGAGGCACGAGCATTGATTTTGTATCAGAATGAATGCTCAATTATCGGCCAGTTGTCGGAACGTAAAGTATTATAATTTTTTAACTCTCAAATGGGGCCGTACTGCTGGACGCAGAAAGGACGCCATCCAGTGTAAAGGGGGCTTTACTGGCACAGTGAAGGTATGGTTTGATATTACATGTAGCTTGTATATAAGTCTACTGATTTATTTATTATAGTGTGATTTGGAAGTATCTTTGTGTGATTTAAATTTTGATTATAGTTTACATGTTTTTCATAATTAAAATAAGTTATGTAGGCCTATGGGCATTGTTTTTAAAAATGTATGTTGTTGTGGGTGTGGCATTTTTATAAACAACACTCACAAGTTTTTTTACGTTATTATTAAATTGCAGTAGCAGCTCAGATGGTCATGACCGTCTCTTGGCAGCCAGCTGGCAGCGGATAACGAGTATGGATATATATTGTTTTAGTGTACCGGTAAGTGTTTGCGATTAAATAACAAGTGAAGTATAACTTATGTAAAGATTGAGTTTTTAGATAAAGGAACACATAATTTAAGCTAAAAGAATTTAGCAGATTTATTAGTATATTAAGTTGTACGCACATTTAGTTTGTTTTACTTCCCTTGGTGTTTCACTGTATTATTTTCATTTTCTTTAGTTTTCACCAGTTCAGTTCAATACAGTTTGGCTGAGATCAGTTCGTTTCTACTCAGCTTAGTAATCAGTAACAGTTCAGTACGCTGCGCGAATAGACAGCATTTATCCAACAATGATTCTTCGTCTTTCTTACTCGTGGTCCGCTACATGTGTACGCACAACACGTGCGTTGCCTAGCACATCGTTTGTTTACGAGTACTCGTGTGGCGCAAGCTTGTCCACGTTTCAAGTTAGATCCCGGAAAAAAAGCAAACTGTCATTAACTTCACCAAAAATATCAAGTGCTTTTAATTGAAACCCACGAATTTAGTCGGTGAGTTTGCAAGAAGAAATCTGTGTTACCTCTGACACAAAATGTGCAAAATGTAAATAGGCACGAAAATTTATTCGCTGTATAAATATTTGAATCTGCACGCGGAATCGCAATCTTGCACGAGGAAACGTCAGCAGTGATTGGAAACCACGACAAAACAATCGTATTGAAACCACAATTACTTGCATGATATTGAGAGGATCGCTGCATCGTATTATTTATAGTGTGAATATTTTCGAATTCGTTTATGATATTTTTAATTGGTTCTCTAAAATGTATAACGAAAATTTTGCGGTTGCCAGTAACGATGTTTTTTAGGCTAAAATAACTAAGATTGTCTACGTCATAGTGTTTTATATCCAAAGCTAAAGCCTATTTTTATAAATATGACAAATTTGCTAAATATTTTGGAACTGAAATAGAATGCTTTTTTTACTTCTAGATATGAATCCGACAAGAAGTCCAAGAGCATTGAAGGCCCCCAGCAAATATTGTCACTGTGGCTGTGGAGGCATGAAAGCCTACCACTGTTCAACAATTTCAAGTCTGATGAAACTGAACTCGGATGGCAAAATAGAGATTGAGATAGAGGGCAGGGCAGACACTGACACAAGATCACCAAATAAACGGGAAACACTCAGGCCTACAGTTATGCAAGCCAAAGATGCCCCAGAGCCTGGACAATGTGTTACTTCATTAGTGTCAAATGTTTCCAATACTTCTGAACAGTCAGCTTCTATGGCAGTTGATGAAGTCAGCTCATCAAAATCAAAAAGTATAAAACCAACATCATCAAAAAAGAGACATGCAAGGAGCAGAAGGCAACCATGCAGAAGGGCTAAGGCAAGAAAACAATTTGTCAGTGGTTTACAAAATTTTCCTGAAAAAAAGACATATGTCAAGTATGTCGTACCAGCAGTGCAGACAGACTCTCTTGGCTCTCCTAAAACAAAAATACCTGTTGCCTCGAATCGGTTTTATGCCTCAAACCAGTGGGATGTTATTGTGAGCTTTGTTACTGTTCAGAAAAAGCATAGGCCAAGCTTGATACCATTATCAACTGAAGTTCTTTATTCTAAAGTGGAACCAATAAAAGACCACTCTGACAAAACTGTTACCAAACTGGAAACCCCACATCAACATGAAATCCAAAGTGACGATAGAAGGACAATGAGACGTACCATTTCCCTTTCTCAGACTATCAGAACCATGGATTCCCTTGGAGATGGGAAGGCAAAAAACCCAACAGTTTATATCAGCTGCAACAGAAGTGGGGTTTCAAGGTATATTAATGGGGAAATGTTGATCAAATGCATGCCAAATATACTGGACCATGAGTGTCGCCAGCTTCCCGGAGGTGAGTGCACATGTGTGAAAGAAGCCTGCCGAATTGCTGCTGCCTTCCAAGCTGATGTTACGCAGTCTGTTCTGAACACCTACCACATGTATCTCAAAGGAATTCATGAACAGCTATCTATGCTTTTGTCACCCTCAAAGAAAGCAGACACCTCTGCTGCAGTTGCTTCGTCTACAGCTTTATGCGAACATAGAGAAGATGGCACATTTGATGGTGAAAATCTTTCTCTCACAGCAGAGGTCGCAAGTATCACAGGTAAACTAGCATAACTTTCACAATTTGTCACTTTTTACAGTCCACGATTTAATATAATCCATTTATTATAGGACTTTCATTTTGTCTAATCTTTGTCGCAATAACATCATGTCCATTTGAGTAATGGAGCACAAGATTCAGTTAGGGTAGTATTCTTGAAACGAAGTCATTATACTTGGTGATTCGCGATTTTAAACTTGCATTCAATGAGATATTGAAATATGAATAAAGGTTTATTAAATGTGGTAAATGTGATTTGTTAAATGATGATTTTACTTCCCATGAACTGTGATAACTACACCCTCCCCAATGGGACCCTCCTAATCAGCATTTCATCTCTTGTCAATCATTTAGATTGTATTAAAATTTAATACATATGTTATCAATATTTTACTATCTTTCCAGAACATGCTGTCATATCATCTGGTGAACACCACTGCATTCAAGGACACAAGAGAAAAGCAACCAGTGAACTGTATGTCCCTACTAGTGAGAACTCCAGACTTCAGGAAATTAAAAGAAAAGCTGATGGACTGTTTGAAAAATTGGATCCAGATAGGCCAAGGAAAATGCCTTGTATTTTTTCTTCTTCATCTGATACAGAGTTATGCTGTGGTAGTCCAAGGACAGAGTGATGGGTTTGTAGGCAAGTACCAGGCTGTGCCCACATGATTATGTCTGGAAATACATTAGAGGTGCCTAATTATGTGATCAAGGGTCCACCGTTCATAAGTGTAATATCCTGTGTAGGATTTCTCACTATAACTTTTTACTAATAAATTATAGAAAAATTGGTCCTAGCTGTTCTGAAAAATATTTATATTATTCGCCAATTCTGCATTTTTTAAAAATATGCCCATATACATGGCCAACAATCTTGATGTTTTAAAAACTATTAAAAAGTAGCAGATACCTGCAGTAAAAAAAAAACTTACTAGTAGTGAAATGTTGTTTGTTCAGTTCTTTTAAATATTCACAATATTTTAAGGCTTATAATTTTTTTTCAAAGGACAAAATATTTTACAGACATATATATTTTTTGGAGTTTAAGTAAAATAGAATTGCTTGCAATTAAAATTCCCTTAAAAGGAAAAATGATTTTTATGCTTTATGGAGATTTCCTTTATTACAATCTCTCTATTCTAGAACATTGATTTACAAGATCTTTCTTCAATTTTTACGTAAATAAATGAACTATGCAAAGCAAAATAACAAATGGTTTTATTCTGAAACAAAAAGTATTTTAAAAAAAATTGGTCCATAATTGACTACTTAACTCATAATTGACTACTTAACTACTTGAAGATGGAACCTAAAAAGGGTCCATTCCCAGGCCCGCTGGAAGAGCTGACACATTTCAATTTGACACAAGATACTTGACATTGCTCAAAAGCATGTGACCTTTTTGTTCATCTTGTCACTGTTGACCTGTCATCAACAATTCCACACCCTCCAGTAACTTTTGTATATAAATCACAATCCAAATAATAAAATATATGATTTGCTTTGTAAATAACAAATGTACGAGATTCACGAATAAGATTCATAATTCACAGTACAAAAATGGGTCAAAGTATTAATGCACTTTTTCAGACGCATATAGTTTCAACAGACAGTCTAAAATAAGTCTTGATAACATTCACCCATTTCTGGTATCATAACTGAACCCTGCATTACAAGTCCTTAATTTCTCATCTAGACAAGTGAGGTTTAAGTCTGGTATAACTGGTATAAGTGAGTGTTATATTAAGTCTGGTATAACTCTGCCAATACACGTTTCCATTTGAATTCAGGGCTTTGTGTCAGCTGTCAGCTAAGATGGTGTAAATCTGTCCTCCTAAGATGGGGTTCTGGCTCCTGACCAGAGTAAGTAACAGCTCAATTAACTTCTTTGGCGAGTCAGTCTAGAAGAAGTTGTAAAACACAAAAATTACTTCACTCAAAGGTATTTCTTAGTTTTCTGGTTAAATTGAATTAAAGTATAGTTTTGAGGTGGCGCTAGTTTTCTTATGTGTGAGGAGTTTTTCTTTTGTTTTTCACTCTTGAACTCTTGGCATATATTTTTTGGGGAAAAAAAGATTACTTTTGCTTGTAAAAATATTATTTCTATCTAAACAAAGTTCACTTAAGAAGCTCTACAATCAATTATTCTTTATCACTGGGATTTTCTGAATGTAAATTTATTTTGAATTATTGTAATATTATCCATGTGTGCCTTGTCAGGGCTGCAATTACTTACCATATCAAACAACAAGGCAACGCAAACATCATCAGCAACATTCTCTTGTAACCTTTGAATACACGCTTGCACTTTGAAATAATCTAAGTCTTCTGGTCCTAGTTGACAAGTAGTGACCACATGAAGGACAGTGGTCACTACAGCTGTCCCTGCATAGTTATTAAGGAAGTCCTTACTCATTTGCAATATGGACTGTTGGTTGTATATGGTATGGAAAATGATATAATGGTTTGCACTGGAAGGACCCATAGCACCATAAGTAGTTATCTGAAATATCATAATTTTAATTTATGAATAAAATCATCTTCAACCAAGTTCTAGCAATTATTTTCATATTTGTAAAAAATGAAGGAAGTAACACTGACATCTTACACATTCACAGATTTCATGACCAAAGATTTGCATTTTCAGTTTTTGTAATGAGGCATTATTTGGTAGAGATGGGGCATAAAAATATCAGCTGGCTGATGAAAATTACTGACAGTGTTTGAAATATATGCGCATCTGTTGTCTGGAGTTCCTGTTTACGTGTGTAAGGTACGGTAGAGCTTGACAGTAAAAACACCTGTGTGTTTGTGTGAATACCAGAACCCACATGTAGTTTAAAATTCTGTAGTTCAAATGCTCTGCTCACTTCAGATTGTATTTTCTCAGGGCAGTTGACCAAAACAACATTCTTCTTCCAATCTGAAATTTAAAAACAACCTTTCAGTAAGTAAAGTTTACAGAATCACAATTGATAGGATACAAATGATTACTTTCCCCATTTATCTATCTTCTTAAAATAGTTCATATCAGTGGTCAGCACTTTCACTGGACTGAGATTCACTACATCCACTGGTCCAAACAGTCACTATTACCAACCTTTTGTAAATTTGTTTTAAAGATTATTGATCTGTCATTCAATGATAAATACTACCTGAACACAAAAACAGTTTCCATTAGTGATCAATGATATTAAAACAGAGCATCTCTTGAAATACTTTTCTGACTGAAAATTAAAGAAATTCAAAATGCAAACACCAAGTATGCTCATTAATTTCACCCCCCAAAAAAGGAGAATTTATCACAAACAATGTAAATCGTTACTCTATCGAATCTGCATAGACCTTTTATGGTATCTTCTGCTGCAGCCAAATCTTTCTTGAGGGTGACTTTCCACAGGGAATCTGGTCCATCAATTAGCCTCACCTTGGCCCCACCATACCTCTGAGCTAGATGAAGACATTCTGTGCCATAGTCAAAGTCATAGTCAGTGCACTGGAACATAAATCAAATAACTTCAACCAGTAACTGCATGGGTGTTTATTTCTACAGAGCTTTGATGTCATATAATACTGGTTACAGTCCTCTGCTGTTGTTTTCACACAAAGGACTCTTCTTGAAAAGAATATATCTGAGAAGATGCATAGTTCAAAGTGTTTAAAAAGAAAATGAGTGTGGTGCAATCCCAAGGTAGTCCCTCTGTGTCATGGGCAAAGCCGCAAAACTAAGTAACTCCTGGCTGTTGACCTGATACAAAGACTGCATTTAACTTCCTGTGTAAAAAGGCATGCATATTAACACTTGTGCTGCTATAATGATTACCAACATTTGGTATCATATTATTATATATTAAATTGGTTTAGATTAATTCTAACCTGTATAAAACTTTATTCTCTACGAAGAGAGAAAAAAAAGAGAGACAAGATATTTAACATATATGCTGATTTAGTTTGTTTTGTTTAGTTAGGTCATACCTTTTATTATCAATATTTAGATAAACCATTGTTTTTCTAAATTATTAAACAATTCATTAACCCATTTTTCTTAACTGACATACCTTTTCATAGGCTGTCTTGATAATATTATACTGAAAAGCCTGTGGCATCTCACTGGCCCTATATTTAGACCTGTCCAGGGAATGGTCAAGAAAACCATCACCATCAACAGCCAGGATGGTGGACACTAGGGGGCGGATAGCACCAGCAGCCTAAATTAGGGAGAAAATAACATGACTGTAACATTGTTTATCTATCTAGTTTGCTAAAAAAAAACCTAAATGAGGTGCTTAATCCAACTTTTAGAAGGATAAGTGTGTCATAAATGTTTGCAGTTACACAGAAGAAACACAGAAAAAATTGCAGTGACAGTTCTTGAATTTCAATCTACCAGTACATGTATGTGTGCTTACATAATGTACTATAGTGCAAACATACATACCTGTACACATATATACATTACAAACAGAGAATGCAACAAAGTTATTTGAACTGAGGATGTTCAGTTTACCCCACACTCTCTAGCTGCCTCCACGATTTTCCACAAGATGTCACTTTCAACAAATGGGCGCACTGCATCATGGATGATGACCACTTCTGGGACTGGGCAAACTGGAAACATGAAATAAACAATATGAGAAGCAAATACTTCCACTATAAGGATTAGCTACCTCTAGATATATGACAGTGTTTCAACATCTGTCCATAGGCCTTTCTCATTCTTATCATCCCTGAAATTATCTACCCCCCCCCCCCCCCC